CGCAAGATTGGCCTGGGCCACACATCGTCCTGTGCAAACTGAACTGAACTGAACTGAAAAGGTCAGGTCATCTGACCTTGGTACGAACACCGTCCGGAAACATGCCGCGTACGTATGATGAGGAACTGAAATTCTTGGAAAAAATTACTCCCACATGCTGGAAAATAAAGAAGGGATTTGTTCCAAATATGAATGTAAAACATGTTTTTTTAGTTTCACCCGTTTTTACAGGTGGAAGGCGTTTTTTACGTGAACGATTTCCTCGAAAAACTCATGTTCGACGAGCTTCGCAATTTTACTCGCAGCGGTGACTTCGGTGGTTTCCTTCCTGGAATGAAGCAGATAGCTAATGTTGCTGCCCTACCTGGAATAGTTCACGTAAGTATGAAATGCTGATTTGGCCTTGATCATGCTGCCGTCGATTTGGGTCACTACGCTGTTACGGGTCTCTTATTTCCGATCATCACTGGTAAGGCCGATACCGAAGCCACCTATGAGGTATTCAGACAAAACGTATGGGTACTGAATTTCCGGTGACCCACTGATTGATGACAAACTGTCCCAATTTGCACACCTTTAAGGAGGCACTGCATGCGTGTTGGCCAGAAACGTTACCTGAGGTGAGGTTGTAGTACCTACCCTTTATTAAAGCCAGGTAAACTGTAGCCCCAAACTGTAAAACAGGGCCTTTCAAATGACGACCACTAGGGACACCAACGGGCATGATATGCACCCGGAACCTGAATGTTTCCGAAAACTAAGGTCTCTCACCAATGAGGCGAGAAGACCCCTTCTATGTCCCCTTGTTCAGCCCGACTGAGTAAACGCGACGAAGAAGCTAATAACGCAGTGTTTGAAACCAGGAACACCGGCCTACAACAATAATGTGGACGCTGGATTGACAAGGGCCATTATTCGTCCTTTGAAGACTAGACTGGACAAGACTGGAGGCCACAGAGGGGCTCAGACAAAGTTCGGTCTCTTGGTTGCGGGTTCGACTCGTCTTAGTCGCTAAAATGGTACAGGGGTAGTCGATTCGAGTAAATATGCTTCTTTTTCGCTTTACCCGCAGCCTTGCAGGTTTTGTGTTCTTAGTGGCTGGAAACCTTGGCAGTACCAGTCCATCTAACTCTAATGCATACACAAACAAAAACTAATTCCGTACTGCATCTGTCGTTTGCGCAGAATAGTCAAGACCGCACCGCCCATTGTATCGCACGCGGCGGGTAGTAATAAGTGGACTGCTGCTCTGATATCCCAACTTTTGTTGAACTCTTTGTCTCCTGTACCCAACCCCCTCCCTCTTCCAACCCGCGGCACACCCTCAGAAAACTTGTTCGTCACTGGTCAAAGTTCGTTGATAATTAGCGATGTATGTAGTTCACCACAAAATCGATTGCAGTTTCTGAAGCTTCGTCGAACACTGAATCTGGGGGCCTTCAGCGATAGGACTCTGATGCAGATAGGTCAACAAGCCCATCTGGCACGTTTGATAGACCCTTTGAGGATTGATGTCTACTGCGTATCAGAGACTTGAATTGAGGGTCCTAGTACCGCAAGCAACTTAAGTGCACCGGGGTTGTGTTCGAGGAATATCGATAGAGAGAGGGAGTGAACGAAGTGAGCCACTTGGGCAACAAAATATCACTGGGCGCACGAATCTGCGGTACCGTGGGTTTCACGTCCTTTCTCGCGCATTCGTGTATACCAGAACGAGTCGGGTAAAATTATCGCTATAATTTTCGATTTGGTGTTTCGATTTGTTCCTAGTTTTCACATTTTCGGATTTTCCCCTTTTCAGCGCTCTGTTGGTCTTCCAGATGTGCATTCTGGTTACGGATTCGCAATCGGTACGTATGACTTTTGCGCATTCTAGACGAATGAAGCGTCCGTTTACATTGTGGTTCATGGATCAGTTCCATTTGTGTTGCTAGGTATATGGCAATTTAGCTGAAATGGAACCTGCACATCAACATCGTTTTTTCTTTAACTCGTTTTTAGTAAATAGAAGAACACAAATATGATACCTACTATTTGTGTGCCACTGAATCAGACGTGTATCATGCTTATCCATTTCTGATACTGAAACACCCCCTAATCTAATCACCACTGATCATCACGTTCTGTGGAACGTGATGTACAGTGAAAAGATCAATCCCACTACCATGAAAACTACTATGAAGTGCAGATGGGGGAAACATCCATATTGTGGATTCTGTACCGAAATGAAGACGGGTTACGAGCTCATTGTTTATAACCGTTAACTGTACATCCTTGTGCTGCGGTTTCGGTTACTGTCATTAAGCTGCCCACTTGCATAAAACAGAAGGAAGATTCGGACTTTGAGGGCGGAGTCAAGGAAAAAATAGAGGACTCATGTGGACTAAGGTTGCAAGGATAACGAGCAGATGCACAAGCACCACTGTTTACGACACTCAGCTATACTATTCAGCGTCTCCAACTATGGGTTACGATGCCCCCCCCCCCGGGGTCCTCATTCAGAGGGAGTCGCAACGGTATTCAAGTGTTCCAGTATTCTGGGGTTCTTCCAAACAGAATACAAACGCTGCTATTCGACATACTTGAATAACTTGTTATAAATGATTTCACTCTGCTGACTGGGTCTCGCGAGCAAATCAAAGTGAATGAAGGATCAGGTCGAGAAGCTCCGAAAAGCGAACTCTATGATAATAAAAATAGTGAGTGGATTGTAAAGCTTTTTTTTGGGGGTAGCGGACAAGCGGTTCGATGTTACCGACTAGTCAACATCAACTACTCAAGCTGTGCCGTCTCTTTGATTCGGCTACTCCTCAATCCCTAATTGATTAGCTTCTTCACGTGGGAATACTCGATAAGTATGTTAACCTACTGTTAACGTTCAGAAAAAGTCTACAACGAGCTGAATGGCGCCTTCAGGACTACCAGCGGTTTCCATGGACTTGTCCTGTTCCACCATTCCTGTTTAATTTCGTCCTCGACGAAATATTGGAGAAAACACCAAGTGGCCCCTAGAATGTAGACATTGAATGATCATCTAGATCAAATCTGTGCGATTAAGTGTACTGACGACATTGACTGTATGGGAATGTGTGGGACATGAGGAAAGCGCAAGTCATAGACTAACAGGTCCTGTTACCACTTCCGGTATGCGATTTGTACCGACAGAGTGTAAGATGAAACTGCAAGACTGTGCCTTTTACCGCGGCTGTAATACTTGATGAATTGCTCCTTCTTCTTGGGTAGTTGCATGATGAATGTCATTGGCATAATGTAGGCAGTATCCGCTCACATTTCCAAGGCTAGATCAATGTATGCAGGACTGAAACGTCTTTGCTACCGACTTGGCGTTCCCGTTTAGTTGAATGATCCCGTAGTTTGGCTCACATAGGAGTGAGCTGTCGGGTAGGCAACGCTGCGGTAAACCAGTGACTATTTGTGAGTGATTCCGTGAAAATTTCGGGATTATATTTGTTTCAGATTGATAGGTTTCACTAGTTAGGGAACGTATAGTGTATATCAAACGGTCTACTACACCGCGATCTGCCCTCTGTTACTGCTCCGGGTTGAAGGAAATCACATGAAGGTCAACAGATGACGTAAAGTGGGGGAACGTAGAAATGCACACCGCATTTAGATGAATTGGGTATCTCGTCTTCGTGGTAAGAGTCCAAAGGACTCAACTGAATTGAATTGGTGTTTTTGTTGTCACTTCTTATTGGACCATAATGCTGGGAAACGTGCGTATGCATAGTTCATTTGTGTATACTGTGTTAACCATTGAGGTGCATTTCCTCTTCCCTCAAAACGGGTGTACCCACTTTCCAACTTACACTTTCTAATTTACTTGATGAGAATTGTTAGCTTGGTCGCGATCAGCGGAGTTTGCTTCACAATATCTCTCCACAAGATTAGCGGGTTGCCTATGGATCAGGTGTCTTGAGTCTATCTCGCGAACGCAGTAATAAATGGTTTTCACACGTGATTTCGGAATAACGTGTGTAAAAATAGTAGGTGTGCGAGGATGGAGTAAAAGATGTAGGCTTTTATATATTTCACACATGTCTGAGGCCAGACTGTGTCAAACGAATCATGGTACAATAATCTTTATAAAAAAGAAAAACGCCACATGATTTTCATGTGGCCTGGATACTGCCAGGTTGCTCAGGCCAAGGCAGGTGAATTTTATTGAAGAATCCACATCCGGATCCTTCGGCTAGCCGAAACTGACCCGAAAGGCAGCGGGGCGGTGTGTGAATGCCGTAATCCTTTGGGGACCGGTGTCCACTTCATTAAATCGTGCGCCCTTCGGACTGGGTCCAACGTCCAAGGTGCCAATACACCTTGAAGCCCATTCGAGCCGATGACCACTGCCACAACCGGGAAGGTGTGGTTCATACACCTCCTCTTGGTATGTTTGGAATCTGGGCTTTTGGCCAACTCCCTTAGGTGAACTACCAGTGGTCCACCAATCCGTTTACAGCCCCGGATGTCGGCTCTTCGTCCCCTCACTTCGGTAGGAAAAATACCGCCACGAGAAGGCAGTGAGTAGGGCTTTCTCTAGAGGAGGCTATCTGAGACACATGGTCATATGGGAGCATTTCGAAGGGGTGCAAGGGAAGGCTGACTGGCCGCAACCCTAGGCACCCACCCCCGACCATACTGAGGCTTTCGGAGGCAATTTCCGATGGTACTTCCTCTTTAATAATCGAATGTACTATAGGATACTAACAATTTTCAGGAAGGAGTTTGCGGTCGCTCAAAGGCTGTCTAGGGATGTACAGAGGTGGGAAGGATTGATGGCGGTGCGGGATTTGAACCCCACCACAATGGTGGAATTAAAAACGAAAAGGGTGGCAAGTAACAGTTATTTGATGGGAATGAGGGACTGAATCACCAGAAGCGTTCTTAATTGGTACACAGACCAAAGAGGAAAAGCTCACGGGAATCTGCTCCGGACTAAGCCGAAGAGTTACATGAAGGAAAGTTTCCTATTCTTCTTGTCGAACCGAGGTTAATCCCATCTCTGCGAAAAAAGTGATGTCTCTTTTTTTAACAGATGACTCATTCGATCTCAATCACAGTTACTTCATTTCCTTTGCATTGATCACCTCAACAGTCATACAACCCGTCGTTGCTGACAAAGTTCGCCGTCCAATGGAACAGATAAGTTAGCTTAGTGGTCTTCTGGCATTGGTTTTACATATATGGTCAGCAGCGATGGACAGCCCCGAAATATCTCAATATTTATGGTTAAATTCAAGGCATTCAATCAGGTCTAGTTTGCAGGTCTATTCTTTAAACTAAGGAAGTTTGGTTTTCTTACGATACTTTTCCCACTACAGTTCTTCCTCAACCACTGCAGCAGTCCCAACGGGTGCCTGTAACCACACCAACTCCTGGATGAAACCCCACCTTTTTCAGTCTGTATCAGAGCCGGTATCCTCTGTGCTTTTTCTCAGCAACCGACCCTATAAATACGTTCGTCCCTGACGCCACTCCTTTCTTTCTCTCTCACTTATTCCTATTACGCCTCCGCCACCGCCATTATAAGCAGTGACCGCTCCTCCCCGGTAATTCTGAACTTGATCTGTCTTTGTCTTGACCTATCAGGCGTATTCTCTTCAATACTGTCCGTTTTCCAGAAATAGTAATCTTTCTCTGTTATGCATACTTACGCAACCTATCAAGACTGTCATTATCTTCTCCGTTTTCTTTGTGGATTGACATTCGTTTGCTTGCCTTCCGTTCTGCTTACAATATCAATTTTCTCCTCTCTAGCAGTTTCTTTTAAACTGCAAATGCCTCATTCAAGGAGCCTAGATTCTCTCCACACTTGAGCACCACGTTTATCTGAATCTGTTTGTTATGTCCACTCGGTTTTCCATTTAGATTCGCAAGCGACTAGTTCCCCGTGTCAAGTAGAGATCTCTAAATTACGTAATTCTAGCCTTTTACTTGGAACTGCCAAACTATGAAACACAACCTTCTCTATCTTCCCTCCAGCTTAGGCAGTATTCCACCCATTAGGAAATCATGAACTCCTCTCCTTGTGATAAAGTTTATTGCATCGTGATTTGTTTGATACGCAGTCTGGACTAAGGTGCGAGTGAAATAGCATAGTAACAATAATAATAATGTATTCACAGACCGTTTGGTCAGTTACATTTGTTTTCTGAGCGTTGAAAACGATTCCGCTCTCAGTGCCACAAGCGCTCGTCATACTCTAGTGTGAATCTAATGAATCACATATGGTTCTAAACTAATTTTTTCAAATTTTTATATGGAAAGCAATGACACATGGGAGTTATTTTCATCATTTGCTTTTTAGGTAACATGGCTGCTTTCGATCTGTCGGATCCCAAAGCGGTTGTCTCCCCTGGTGGTGTGGGCTTCGATATCAATTGCGGTGTGCGATTGATACGTACCAATTTGACTATGAAAGATGTACTTCCCGTGAAGGAAAAACTCACACAAACATTGTTCGATCACATACCGGTTGGTGTTGGTTCCAAGGGGGTCATTCCGATGAATGCACAAGCGTTAGAAGAAGCCTTGGAGATGGGCATGGATTGGTCCCTTCGACAAGGTAACTCATGTTTCCCTTTCCCTTTAGATTCCATGTTTTATCTAAAGTAGGATCGATCCTACTGGCTGTCGAACATCCTTCGTTTTTTTTCTGTTCGTGATTTTATAGATGGGAATCAACCCTTGAAATAGGAC